AAGATAATAAACACTAATGTATGTTACATGAAAGCTGTGAAGACCGTAAATCCTGAGCGTTCTCATCACAAGGGAAGAAATTTTTCTATTTCTTTAATGTTGTATCTACAGGAGACAGTGGATATTCACTAAATCTCTTGTGAATGTTTCATGCTGTATGTTGTATACCTTAAACTTACACAGGGCCGTATGTCAATTATAGCTCAACAAAACTGGAAGGGAAGAAAAACACCCCAAAAAAGGTAGAAATACTGAGCACTTGTGGTAAGCTCTTTTAATGGTACCATCTAATTGCTCTCCAAAATGCACGTTCCAACTTACACCCCCACTGGTAGTCTGTGAGTTCTCATTTTCCTATAGGATCCATCAGCACTAAGAAACTGCCAGGCCTTTTAATTTGCATCAAGATGATGGCATATAATGGTATCTTTTTGTTGAATTGCATATTGACTAATTTCAGTGAGTTTCCCTCATCATGACAGACCATCATTTTCTGTCAGGGGACATTGGCGTTCTCTTTTGTAAATTTCTTGTTCAGAGTCTTAGCCTGTTTGTTTTTAATTGGGTTGTTGATCTTTTTCTGAATGATGTGTAAAAGATCCTTATATATTTTGATCGCCAGTCATTTGTAATCTGTTGCAAATGTCTTCTCCAAATCTGTCAGCTGCAGGTTGAGTTTTCAAATGTAAACTGAGAGGTCTTGTACATCGATGACTCCTGAAATAGGTGGTCCTGTCTCAAAGTCAGAGGAGAATCGTTTACACAGCCATAGGAGTCATGACCACGTAACTTGTATCTGAGGAGCACGTAACACTTTTCCAAGGCATCTTCTAATCGCCTAACGTTCTCAACTGTAAGATTCTGTGGTTGATCATCAATATCCTTTTAGTGATCAAAGTCTGACCTTTGATCCTTCTTCTGCAGCTGAGAAGACCCAGCTCAGAGGATTGGAGAGATCTGCCTTCAGCCGCATCATACTGAGGGGTCCAGACCCAAGGATTTCATGTTGATTTCATCTCAGTACAAGTAGGGGGTGGTACAGGAGGCCCTTAAAATCTTAGTCCCCTGATCCCTTGGGCAGTGTCTCTCCTTGCGGGCAGCACTGAGACCAGCATCAGGAGACAGAGAGAGGCAGGAAGGTGGGAAGGTGAGACAGACATCCCAAAACACGGGGGAGAGGATAGTGGACTCCTGTCGACTCCCCTCGGATGAGGCCCACCAGGCGCTTCTGCCCCCAATAAGAAAAGGACCACATGAACACAAGGATGGACCCTCTTCAACAGCTTTTATTGAGCAGCAAGTGTGGGGACCGGATTCCGCACTGAGTGTCGCACATGGGGAAACGTCAGCTGCTCTCACGGCTAGAGGCAAGTTTCTGTTACAAATGGAAGGTCAGAACCCCATGCTTTCCTGGCCATTGTTATCAGCACGTGCAGATACAGGGATGTATCCAGAACGTGTTTCTGCCCCTGCAGCCAAACAGGAGGGGCTCTTATCTCAGCATCCAACCAAGCACCACCATGTCAACAGCCGGGACAGTGGAGCTGGAAAAACCCCCCACAGCCACCAGCACGAAACTTTCCACCAGATCAGGGCCCCACCCAAGGAGCTCTGCCGAGAGACACCGCTGGCCATGAGCGCGACTGGCGCCCCCCGGGCCCATCCAGGCTCCTGCCCCTGTGCCCTCTGGGGGCACCTGGTGAGTTCACGTTTCTGGGGACGCCGGCTTCAGGCATGACCCACAATAGTGTCCACAAGTACCTCGCCCATTTCCCCCGACACCAAATACAGCTGAATTGTTTATACAAAGTCCTCTAGTCTAACTCCCTGGTTTCTGTTTTTTTCTTTTTCAAACTACGATACAGCATCTTAAGCAGACAGACGCCGTCTGAACATACTGCATAACATTTACCTCATGGCTTGTAATGGAGAATTACAGATTATGAAACATTTTCTTGCCCTGCCTCGATGATGAGTCTGATTCCTACCCAGTTCAAAGCACAGACACGATGCCTTAAGCATAACAGATGCTCCTCGAGTGGCTCCAAAAATGCGTAACTCCGTGGTTGACAGTACCCACTGGGGGCCGGCAACCTCTTCTGCCAATTTCAGAGCTTCCAGGAATGTGCAAAATTTAGAGCAGGAAAAGAAATCATTAGACAACTGTCAAAACAGATAAAAAATAATCTCTAAAGAGTCTCCTAACAGGGCTTCATACTGGAAATCCTGACCCCAGGAAGACGTGCCAAGATGCCTTCACGTTACCTGCTGCTTTAAAGACTCATTAACCAAACCTAAGTGTGAGCACCTACATGGCCCCTAAACGTGTATACCCCCTACATAAAACTGAAGAAGAACTTCCCAAGAAACACTGTGCTTGTTGTGGGGAATAAAAGGCCTGAGTCTCCCCTATAAGCTCCCTGAGTGATGGGTTTATTTGGGCACAGGTGGACCTTGGAAAGGGCCAACTGCAGCTCCAGAAAACAGCATCCAAGTGGCTGGCTGTCCCCACAGCAGCGTCCAGGGCATGTAGTCAGGACCCACCCGACCCAGACCACCCCCTGCAGCACGGCCTCCTCCCTCTGCACACTCTGGACCGCCTGGTGCTGAAGGAATCAGATGGTGCCTCCCAGACAAGTGGAATCAGCAGCAGTGCCCTGGACCCCCAGCCCCACCCTGGGCTCCTGGGAGAGTCTTTCCTGAGAGTCCCTCTGCGGAAGGTCTGTGGAGAGGGACAAGTGCACGGCCAGGAGGACACTGGAGTCAGACTGAAGTCCAGGAGGGCTGGCCAGGGTCCGCCCAGTGCCTCGGAGACATTTTCCAGAAGTCTGCAGAGAAGATGACGCGGGGCAGCCAGATGGGACTTGGGGCACGGTGTTCTCCACGGCGATGACACAGCTTCAGGCAAACCAGACAGAGCCCCCTGCCGCCCGACACTGGACTCAGGAAGGCCAGCAGCCAGGTGTCACCAGCCTGCCCTGCCTCCCGTGCCTGCAGCTCAATTGTAGGAAAGGTAATCGATGAGCCGGGGAGGGATGTCCAACTTGGCGATTTTCTCCAGCCCTCTGACGCCAGTGGCCCTCCTCAAGCTCACCCTGCAGAGCTGGGACAGGGTCAGAGGTGTCTCTGGAAGAAGGGGACAAGACGCACATGAGGTCAGCTTAAGGAAGCACTATAGTATCCTTCAACTTAATGAGCACCAAGATGGCACTAAAAACACCCGCCTTGTCCTGGAAAAGGGCTGAACTCCGCGCATCTTCTCTGGCAGTCTACCAGGAAGGACGGCCAGGGACGGAACATAGGAGGCCAGGAAATGGAATTCAGATGCAGGCCACCGGGATTTCACTTTGTGGGCTTTTGGCTTTGGGGAGGGGGTTGTTACTTTTTCCACATAATATTATAACTCATGCAGATTTGTAAGCAAAGCAGTAATCGACAGCTACTAGTCTTGTCTGGCAAACTTCCAGACAAATAAGGACAGGGCAAGGATTGGGGCACCGGGAGCTGGCTCTCCACTCCTGCTGTTTCAGGACACAAGCTGGGTTCTGCTCCCCAGCGCCACAGGCCACAAAGGACCCACTGGGATGGACCCACGTGGGCACACAGTCCACAAATGTGCATCCTGGTGGCAGAGGGTCAGGATGGCAGGAATGGGGCCTGGAGTGAAGCTCAGGAGGGATGCAAACCAGGACCAAAGAAGGAAGGTGCCTGGGGGTCCCTGGTAACTGGGGCACCGAACTGTGTATGGAACAGAGCCTGGCTGCGTGAGGTTGCCCTTTAGAATCATCTGTGATGAACATATAAATGAACCAAAGAGAGTATTCTCAATGCAGGAAACGTTATGAAAGAAAAAGCTCTTTGGAAGAAAAATAAGAATTATTAGTGACATTCATTTTCCCATGTTACTTGCTCGCCCCAATTATTTGGCTGCAGGAAACGGAACATTTTCTAGATGTTTCACCGACAGATACCGATGGTATCTACCTCTAAAATCATAATAGATTTTGGTTTGGAAGGCTGGCAAGATTTTGAATAAATAGGCTTTTTTTCCCCAATAGATGGGTGTTTGAAGCCTCTTGTGGCTGTCATTCTATGTGAACTCATTTAAAAACCTGCCCCCAGAGAAGAGGTCTTGTCTCAGCCAGATCATGCGTACTGCTTCCTGAAAAGCGGGGGCTGCACCTGTATCACCAGCCTCCCGGGGGCCGGCCCGCGTACAGGGCCCATTTCCTCATGGCTCAGCGGTCAGCGCGGAGCTTCCCGCGAGGCCCCACAGCGCGCGGCATCACGCGCACCCAGACACGCACTCTCGTAGTGCTCGAAGCACTTGGCGGGGGCGCTGCTGCTCCGCGTGTAGTCGGACGGCTTCCGCCCCCGGTTGTCCCGCGCGTAGATGTTGCCCCCGAACTGGATGAGCATCTCGATGAGGTCCACGTTCTTCACCTTGGCCGCGTGGTGCAGCGCCGTCTCGTGCAGCTTCGCTGCGTTCACATTGGCGCCTGCGGGTCCAGAGGAGGCTGACGTCAGCGAGGGGCAGGGCTGGGGCGGGGTGGGAAGGAGGTGGGGACTGCAGGTTTAGAGGGGACTGACGTCACCGAGGGGCGGGGCTGGCGGGGAGGGGGCGGGGACTGTGGGAGGGGTGTCCATAGGTGAGTTGACGTCACCAAGGGGGCGGGGTGGGGAGGAGGCGGGGACGGCCCTGTGGCATCGTGCGTGCTCAGCGTGCATGAGGTCCTGGGTTGAATCCCCAGCAAATTCTTTAAAAAAAACATACTAGTCAACATCACCAAGGCGCACCGGACACCAAAACAGCCCTTCCTGGGAAACAAGACCAAGACTCTGCTGCAGCCTTTTTCAAAACCTTCCAGCAGTTTGGCAGATACAAACTACTGTGTACAGAATAAATAAACAAGGTCCTACTCTACAGCACAGGGAGCTAGATTCAATACCTTGTAGCAACTGGTAACGAAAAAGAATTCATATATGTGTATGTATGTGAATCACTTTGCTGTACACCAGAAACGAATAATATAACACGATAAATCAACTATACTTCAATTTGAAAAAAATTTTTTTAAATTTTTAAATCTTAAAAATCCAGAAGCAGTGATTCCTTTTTTCCCCGCTTAGGATAAGAGAGACAAGGACAGGGAGCAGTAAAGAAGAAATATAACTGGGAACAGAACCAAAAAGAAGAAAAACAAGACAAAAACCTTCCCGGTGAGCTAAGAGTCTGCTCTGATGTCCTGTGCAGTCTGAGGCTCCGGACTCTCAGGCTGAGCTACTCAGGCTCCCTACACACACACACACACACACACACACACACCCATGGAAACATACCCCACACATGCACACACACACCACGGGGACACACACATCCCATGCACACACATCACCGGCCGAGGACAGAGGCTCTAAAAAATGTGTGTTGCATGAATGAATGAATATTCCTTAAGTATGAGAAATCTTGTACAAAAGGGAGGCTCAGCGGGAAAACAGGGAACGTTCCCCCAAATTCCTTGGAGTTCAGATCCAGATGAGGCATCCTGTGAACTCAGCTCTGCCCCACCTTGTACTCAGGATGACAGGAGACATTCATAAAGTAGCTGAACACAGCCATTTTTAAATGCATTAAAAAAAGATTTTGATAAAAATATGATTCAGGTAAAACACCATTCTTAGGGCACAGCTATCATAATTCTATACAATGGAATCTCCTCGAATTTTTTTTTTAAGAAAATACCAACTGGCGTCCTCTGCAGAAGCTGGAAGCAGCAGCCCAGAGGGACATGGAGCCACGTGAGTGCATCTTGAAAACACAGGGCTGAGTGATCAGACAGGAAGCAGAGTCTCATCCGTAACACCAGTCACCTCCATGAAAACTTCATGCCTCAACCGATACTTTGTATTTTACAAAAAACACACAGAGGCAAATTAGAATGGTGGGATTGAGGGGTGGGGACAGAGGAAGGAAGGGAAGGAGGAGCCGGGGAGAAAGTGGCCTTGCAGGGACTGAGAATGACACCACCTGGAAGTCGGGACAGAGAGAGCCTGAGCCTACAGCGCCCAATGCCATCCGGGCCCTAAAAGTTCTCAGCTCAGAGAAGAGGGGTCCACGCTTGCTAGGGATCAAAAGCCTGATTTCAAAGCAAAGTAGGATTAGAGTGGACTCAGTAAAATCTTAGGGAACAAAGACCAGGCTCCGGGGGCGGGGGAGTGCTGTCACGCGCCTGCCAAGGAACTCAGCACGATGCCGGGGCAGCAGGAGGGTGCCGAGCACAGAGAGCTGGGATTTGCCTGCTGGAATAATAGCAGACACACATCTGAGCAGCACTGCGCTGGGAAGGGAAGGGGGAAGCTCCTTCTGAAGGCTCCCAGCGCAGCTAAGTATGTACTGCTGGGGCGCAGATTAAAAAGTACCCCTCCAGGAATAAGTGGACTTTCACCTGCCTGACCCCCACTCCTCTGCACAAGTAATCCACAGCTCAGTGACTTAGCCTGGCGGCCTATGGAAGACCCACAGCCTCTGTATCCGTCCCCAGGGCACCCCGTGCCCCCCCCCCACAGCACCCCTCCTTGAGCAGGGCAGGGACCCTCTCCAAATTCACACGCAAAGGCACCTGCATGCAGACTTTTCTAGAGACGTGGCCCGTGGTTTTCATCAGATGTTCCAAGGGGCCTGTGACCTACCCAGCAAAAAGTCATGAATCACTGCCTTGGGAAGGAAACGTACGCTGACCTCGTCTCTCTACTTTTCTGTATCTTTGAGATTTTTCCAGAGTTCAAAAATAGTTTTAAACAAAAAAGGGAAAAAGAATGCATGTGGTCTAGGAAGGGTGTCAAAAGAGGCCACCTGGGATTAGAATCAGGGACGACAGATGTCTGGAGCTGACAGCTGGTGGAAGACGCTGACCACCAAGAAGAATCACTCTCCTTTGGTGAACACCTACTAGGCACCAGGGGCTGCAGAAATGTTACCACGAATCCTCCCAACAGCCCTAAAAGATTGGTTTTATTTCTCCGGTTTTACAAATAGAGAAACGGGCAGGTGGGAGAGCCAGCGGCCCACCTGGGCCGTCTGACGCCCCCTCCCAGCTCTCAGCCGGCTCACGGTGCAGGCGAACTCACCGCGCCTGCGCTGAGCAGAGCCTGCGTAAACACTGACGCACCTGCCCTGAGCAGCCGCGGGCATGAACACAACACACCTGCAGTGAGCAGAGCAGGTATAAATTCGACGCACCTGCGTTGAGCAGCGCTTTGACGCAGTCCAGATGCTCCCGGGCACAGGCAACGTGCAGTGGGGTCCCAAAGTGGCAGTCGTGAGCTTCCAGGTTGGCCCCAACGTCAATAAGAAGCCTCACGCACTCGGAACTTCCTTCAAAGAAACAGAGACGGATGAAAGGCATCGTGATGACACACGGCTGGAATAACGAGGCTGGCAGAGACGCGGCTGGAACAGGTGAGCCCAGCCTGGCTGCAGCGGTGGGGGTGGGGGCGGCCGGGACTACATCCCCACCACAGGCAGTCCACGCCCCACATGGCCCTCGGAGCAGCGGGTCCGGGTCCTATCTGGCCGCGGGAGAAACAGAGAGAGGTCACAGCTGGCACTTTTGATGGGAGAACGTGAAATTGGGGGGACCAGCTGTCGGAGGCAGAGAAGACGCCTCACTTCCCCCTTGGGGGGGCGGGGAAAGGGGCTCCCCACCACTGGCTGCCCACTAAGCTGTGTCAGGAACGTCCAGACCGCCTGGGTGAACTTCCCTACACTCCCCCACCAAGCGGGTTCCCCACCCCTCCCAGCAGATACCTTCCCGGCCTCTTTGTAGGCATCTTTAACCCCCATCTGGGGGTCTGGGTTTCATTCTGTCCCAGAGCCCATCCTCTCTCCTCCCTTGACCATACTTTGTCTTTGGCTCCTGAGCCTCTCCCCAGACCCCAGACCTGGCCCCACCTCCACGCCGTCCGCTGGACACCCCCCACTACCAGGTCCTTACGTCCCCTCCCCAGCCAGTCTCCCCGCTCACCCTGAGTCGGTCTTGACCCTGTGCTCTCCTCCCAGCCCGTCCAGTCCCACTGATTCTCCCCGCAAAGCTCTCCAAGTGAACCTACCCCACTTAAGCCGCAAGGGCTCCGCCCTTGGATCCCCACAACAGCCCCCACCTCATCTCCCCATTTCTGAGATACCCACCACCACCGTCTCCTGAAGGAAGCAGAATGTGCCACCCAAAATACGCCACTTTGGTCTAAGGATTTCTTTGAGCTGAAGATAGTTGCAGACGCAGCTAGAAGACAAATTCTCTGCTCCCCCTCACTTGCCTAAAAGCAGTATGTAAATGTGTAAAGCTGTCCCCTCCCCTCTCTCCCAGGAAGCTAATCGCCGGGGACAACTCGACCCTGGCCGGCTGAGAGCCAGCACCAGAGGCGTCCACGCAGCAGTCCTCGCTAACCAGCCCTGTCTCCTGGCAGTTTCCCGGCAGGTTTGCCTTCCCATAACTTGCCACCCTCGAGCTCAAAGTCCTTCTCCTTTGTCTCATCACTGCTCTTTATTAAGATGCTTCATAAACCCCAATTCTAACCACCCTTTGCCCGAGCTCCCCTGGGTGTCTGTGCAAGGCAAACCCTAGCAAACTTCGGCTTCTCTTGTTAATCGCTCCCTTGTCAGTCTCACGGGCAGGGCCCTGGCCAGCGAACGTAACCTTCCCTCCCCTGCACTGTACACGGATGGCCACGAAGCCACCCTTTAAAATGTTATTTTCCTATTGTTCAGCAAGTGCTCAAAAACCTTCAAGGCTGCCTGTGGGGACCTCAGTGCCTGCTGGTGACAAAGATGACCTAGCTGTGGGAATCAGGGTGGGGGCAGCAGAGAACAGTGGCCCTGGTGGGGCGGTGGAGGAGCCCACACCCCAACGAAACACGGCGAAGACAAACACCACGCTGGCCGAAGCACAGGACACAATGTGCAAACCTTGCTCAAAACAGCAGGGGTCTGACTCCTCAGTCTGTCATTTAAAACACTTCCCAACCAGCTCCCAACCTAAACTTCCAGTTCCACCCGTTGCAGCTCCTCTTCCAGGCGCTTCTGATCTCCCACCGTCTGAGCTCCGTCCCTGCTTGGAGGGCAGCTGAAAGCCCGCCAGCTCCCCATCCTCTGAGGGCACCTGCCCAGGCGATACTCCGGGCCTCACCTCCCAGCGACATGCGGGGCCTGCAGGGCAGAGGGACAGCCGCCACCAAGCGAGCGGCTGCAGAGGGAACAGCTCCAGGCTGAGCCTCTGAAAGGCGCTGACTCAGCTGGACGCAGAGTCCTCCCTTAGAAACAAAGCGCCCAGTCCCAGATGAGGACCACTTCGCCAGGAGGAAGAGTGCAGGAGTCCACGGCTCAGCCGGGAGCCCCCTTCACCAGCAGGGCCTCCCCATCCCGTCCAGACTGCTCCGCACTACGGCTCACCGCTCATGCAGGCCTCGTGCAGCGGGGATGCCGTGTACAGGGGCGGGTTGACCTTGGCCCCGTGGGAGAGCAGGAGCTTCACACACTCGACGCTGCCCGAGGCACAGGCGTCACAGAGCGGGGTGCTGCCATCAATGTTGCGGGCGTCCACCTGGCAGGAGGGAAGAAACCAGTGCCGGGGACGGAGGGGAAGATGCAGGCTACTCTCTTGCTCCTCCTGATGGATGCTCTGCGTCTTTGCAAAGACACCACGTACTTTTTCTAAGTATTTGGTTTTCTACTAAGAGCTGAGGTGCCATGCCAGGCAAAGGCATTAGAGAGAGAAGTAGGGGGGTGCCTGCTGACCTCCTGAGCATAGTGGGCAGGCGGCTTGAGGCTTTTTTCTCTCTTGGGGAGGATCCACTCAGCCTTGCTCCAGCCGCCACCCCAAACAGCTAGTAAGCACAGGCAGGGCATGAAAACAGCCTCGGCTGGAAAGAGTGCCTGAAACTGTTTAACATGCCTCTTCCTGCTGGAAAATTACAGGGCAGGAAAACAGCAACTCCCCACAGTGGCAGCATCTGCTCAGAATTTGTCCAAATTCAGCTGTTATTTGGGTTCACACTGAAGCGTGTGCCACTTCCTCTGGAACCACCTTCAGAGCCAAGTTCTGCAAAGGCCCAGCAGCACAAAGCTTCCCTTCCTCCTCACCGCCACCTCTGTCCAGCGGTGGGCGAGCGGGGCTGGCTCCAACCAGCTCACCCAGCCCAGCCGGCCGTTAAATATGCAGCAGTTCCACCAGCCAGATGCCGCAGTGGGGTGAGTATTTACACCAGGGAGAGCCACCCATCAGCATCTTGGTTTGGTTCCTTCTTACCTTTCCTGCCAGAGCTGCTTGGCCAGCACCCCACTTAGTCATCCTGCTTTCTGAGCGCAGACGCCTCTGCAGCCAAGGCCCACCAGCCCTGCCCACGTGCAGACCACAGCACCCCACTACTGTGCTAAACTGCCTTCTCTCCAGCCACCAGTGACCTCCCAGCAGCCAGGTCCACGACCATCCTCACCGGCCCTCAGTGTGCAACTGACACAGCGACCCTCCCTCCCTCCTCCCTCAGCTGCCACGACCCCCATTCTGATGGCCTCCTTCCTCCCCATCTCGGCTGCCTCCGGTGGTTCCCTTTCTTTCCATGAGTTTGCATCACATGGAACGCTATTCCCAAGCCTCTTTTCCTCTCGAGCTGGTCTCGTCCACCCCACCAGGGGCCCGTGCTGCAGGGCAGCTCACCTGAGCCCCGGCAGCCAGCAGCAGCTGCACACACTGGGCCTGGCCCCGCAGGCTGGCCACGTGCAGGGGCGTGATGGAGTCCACAGTGACCTGGTTGACACAGGCCCCGTTCTCGATCAGCTGCTGCAGCTGCCGGGTCTCCCCTCGCTGGGCCGCCTCATGCACGGGGGTGCGCTCCACCCAGAAACCTGGAAAGGAAAACACCGAGTGCTGGGACCACACCACTTCTGGCCAGGTCCAGTGAACGTACACACAACCCTGGGGACCTTTTACCAAACCCAAGACACTGTACATGTGATCATGTAGTTGGTCCAAACAGCCCTACTCGAAATCCTCGAGTGACCCCCACCGCCGGGGATGGGGTCCAAATAGAGCTAGCTTTGCTTCTTCCTTCCTAATCAAGATGCCTTCTCTGAGTGTCTAACAAGTTCCCAGACGATGCTTACGCAGCTGGTCTCGGGACTGCACATGGAGAACCCCAGCTGCAGACACTTCTCCCACTGAATAAAGCCCCTTTCTCTCCCTACCTCTGGCCTCTCTCTCTCACCCACCACCCAACTTTACCCTAGGTAATGTCTACTTGTACCTCTCCTGATTGGCCTTGCCCCTCCTCAGCCCCCATCCACGCTGGGTTAGCCCCTCCTGGGTGCCCCCCACCGCCTGCCCCAGTTCCCACCAGTCCTTACTGTGCTGTGGTCCCACCTGTCTGCCTGCCGCACAGCAGAAGCAGACAAGATAGTGGTCCCTGATACGGGTTCTCAGTGCCACCCCCCCACAGACGAGCGGTCCAAGTTAATCACAGAATTCCCATTTCCCATAGAACATCTGACCCAACTCCAGTGAAGGAGACCTGAGGGAGAGCCTCCTGAGACGGTTCACAGATTCAACACGCCCCTGGCTCCCAAGAAGATACCGGCGAAGTCTGTCTCCCTCTTTCCCCGGGATATGGCCTAGAGGCGAGCTGGGAACTTCTGCAGCCATCGGGCTACCTGCCTGAAGACGGAACCAGAACCCCGGAGATGGCCAAGCCCAGGAGATGGGAGCACCCAGTGAATCACTGATCACATGGGGCCTGGAGCCCGCCGACAGCCCAGCTTCCCATGCTGCGAGCTTGGCGTTTCTTCACCGTCTAAGCCAGGTGCAGAGAAATGCATGCAAACACACAGGGTGTGAACTCCCCGCTGGCAAAAAATCACAGGGTGTCTCCTCAGCACCCATCAGAGCATCTGGGACAGAGTGGAGTCTTTTAGACACTCTGAAAATGTCACAGGGTAGGAGCTTGGGATTAACAAATTCACACTACTATATATAGAATAGATAAACAACAAGGACCTACTGTACAGCACAGGGAACTATATTCAGTATCTTGTAATAACCTATAGTGGACAAGAATCTGAAAAAGAATGTGTATGTGTGTGTGTGTGTGTGTGTGTGTGTGTGTGTGTGTGTGTATATATATATATATATACTTTAGATAGTAACAGAGTGAAAACAGGGGGGAGGGAGCAAAACCCCACAAGGACGAGACCAGTGCCTAAGAATGACATACCTGCTGCACAGAATGCACCTGCTGCCATGGGAACCGAAGACACGGTATATGCAGCGAGCCCGGCACAAGCGGGTGTTTAGTAAGTGCTTTATCGTGATCACCCTTGTTTAACAGTGCAGTCTGAAGTAAAGCCCAGCCTGCGGGGAATGACCGGCCACTTTGATTCTAAGGGAAAACGGAAATCTGCATTTTGATATGAGGAAACCCTCACTCAGGAGATTGGGGCTGAGTACTTGGTTGCTTTTTAAGAGGTTTTTCAGCAACAGGTTTTTCATATGAATGCCGTGAATATTGTTTGTTGGTGAACTAGTGGTTTTAAGATGTGTTACGGGGACAAGAAGTCAAAACTTGATGAAGAGAGGAAAAGAGAAAGTGAAAAAGAGTAAGTGAAAGCAAAAGAGAACAGTGGAAAGAGGTTACCAAGAAGTGGAAAACAACCTGGACCCCTTTTAACATATGAAACAAGCAAAAACTAAACAAAAAGAAACACCTGAGTTAAAACCTTGGCTTGACGGCTTTATAGCTATGCAGACTCAGTTTCACCTCTGAGTTACCAATAATGATGACTGTCCCATGTCTGCCACAGGGCGTATGGCCCGTGCCCGGCACACAACCTAGCAGCTCCGTGGCTCTCGTCGTGGTCCCAGGAGCTGCCTCTCCTTTTCCCGCTCCATCTCACCTTCTCAACACCCCAGAAGCCAATGAACTGTTTAAGGATAAATGAAGAACATAATAGCCCACCTTGCTTGGAGCCCAGATCCCTAAGGCACCTTTTCATCTTCTGCCAGCCTCTTCCTTCCAAGTCAGAAGCTCTTGAGCACACAGGCTGAATTCGGAGATCACCTTTTTCAGCTCTGCAAATAACACTTAACCTTGGGTCGATAATGATGTGTATTACATTTGCTAATAAACACTAGACTCAGCTTAGGATGTGACTCTCCCTACATTCTTACTTATAAGGGCATATCCTAAGACTGCAGCCTTTACCTCTGAGAGGTATCATATGAAAAACAAACCTACCTGGTTTGGTTAGGGTACACCACATATACAGAATTTGAGATGAGAATGTTACATTAGGTTAAACTTCCTATGATGGAAACTTCTGCTGGGAGAGCAGGGTTGTTTTGAATTCAACACACTGAGCTGATTCATTAGTGTTGAGAATAAATATGTCAGCAGGACATGTTTTTAGAGAAATATATGAAATAAAACAATAACAAAGTCAAAAGTGGCCAGGAACCCCAGAAGCCGTGCATCAGTTAGTCCAGAATGTATTTTCTTCTCAAGATGCATTCCCTGAACTACATACATTCCCGCAAACAATGTGTTCAGAAGCGATGCTGGCTGCTGAATGTTGTACATGAACAAAAATATTAAAATGAGCTTAAACAGGTTTTCCTGGTGAGCTGTTCATTGCTTATTTAATTGAACCAACCAAGCACAGATCCCACTGGCAGGGTCAAAGCCCTGCCTCTGTCTGGGGCGGAATGCCAAGTAAAAACAGACGCTTATTAAATGCCTTTGATCATGTCCGAAGTGGCTGTTCTGCAAAACCAATTAAAATTGCTTTGCTTTGCTAGAACTGCAATTCCCCTTAAGCTAAATGTACCCTTAAGACTTCTCACTTTTATTCGGCTCCTTTTTTTTTCAATCAGCGTAAAAATACTTCAGTTGTTTGTTTTTTTTTTTTCTTTCCAGGTTTTCGAAGTGCTTTCACTGCTCATTTCATTTGCTCTAAAACTGCTTCCTAGGCAGGAAAGTTTGCTCCCCCAAAGAATTGCCTTTGCCCTCCAGTCCATTTTATTCTTGGGTTGGCCAAGTGGTAGAGACGGTTCAGTGAAGATCGGAGGTGCATGGTTCGCACAGTGCGATCAGGGCACATCCCCCTCCTGGATCGGATTCCTGGGTGTCCGTAGAATGCTAATGACCCCGCGCCTGACCTTCTCACAGGGCGCCTGGAAGACGGTCCAGCTCCCACCCCGGGCTCGGGCCAGGGGTCCCGCCAAGGCATCTCCTAAGTTGTCCTCGGAACCTGGCAACGACTGCGCACCCCCCTGCCCCGCACCCAACCCCACCGGGGTGCACCGCGCTCCGGTGGGTCTGCAGTTCTGAAGTCCTCCCAAGGATGAGCAGCCCTGCAATGCGCCGATCCCGGCCACGAGTTGTGGGGACGAGCAAGGCGCGGGACGCAGAAGCTGAGTCTGAGATGCATGGGATCCCGGGACCGACCTGCTGAGTTAAGGACTTGGCCCTCCGTCACCGCGTCACCG